TTTTTTTTTTTTTTTTTTTTTTTTTTTTTCTCTATGCATATTGCTTAGATATGGATGTTATGATTGCTTAGTCTGATGTGTTTTTTGTGATAACTTGTGTGCAGGTGATTCCTGGTGAATATGGTTTCGTTGCCCAGCTGAATGAGGGTCGTCACCTCAAGAAGAGACCAACCGAGTTCCGAGTGGACAAGGTCCTTCAACCCTTTGATGAAAACAAGTTCAACTTTACCAAAGTTGGCCAAGAAGAGGTCATCTTTCAATTTGAAGCTAGCGATGACGGACAAGTCCAGTTCTTTCCAAATGCTCCCGTTGATGTCGACAATTCTCCCAGTTTTGTTGCCATCAATGTATGGTTACTCGCTAGCTTTTGTTCAGGTTTTGTTCTTGTGGCTTCTTTTTTAGGCGTTTTATGTGATGATGTTTGTATTTTTTACTTTCTCAACAGGTCAGTCCTATTGAGTATGGGCATGTTTTACTGATTCCACACATATTCGAGCGTTTGCCCCAAAGGATTGACCGTGAGAGCTTCCTGCTTGCACTTCATATGGCAGTAGAAGCCAATAACCCATATTTCCGATTGGGTTACAACAGCTTGGGTGCTTTTGCAACTATTAACCACCTTCACTTCCAGGTACTGGATACTGACTTGCCCCTTATAGGTCATGTTAATGATTTCTTTGTTTAATTCTACAAATTTGATTGCAATTTGGTGATTTTGACATGAATATATGCAGGCTTATTATTTGGCTCTGCCCTTCCCCATTGAGAAGGCTCCCACGAAGAAAATTGCAAACTTAAATGGTGGGGTGAAGATATCTGAACTGTTGAAGTATCCAGTTAGAGGTCTTGTCTTTGAGGGCGGTGATACACTTGAAGATTTATCAAATGTCGTTTCAGATGCTTGCATATGTCTTCAAAACAACAACATACCTTTCAATGTACTTATTTCTGACTGTGGAAAGCAAGTCTTTCTGTTACCACAGGTAAAGTAATTCTGAAACGAACTGAATTGTTCTAATACACACTTTCATTAGTTACTTGTGTGGGTATTTACCGAATAGATGAACAGTGTTATGCAGAGAAACAAGCCCTTGGAGAAGTGGATCCTGAGCTTCTTGACACCCAAGTGAATCCTGCCGTGTGGGAAATTAGTGGACACATGGTCTTAAAGAGGAAGAAGGATTATGATGAGGCATCTGAAGGCAATGCTTGGAGGCTTCTTGCAGAGGTTTCCCTCTCTGAAGAGAGGTTTCAAGAAGTCAATGAACTTGTTTTTGAAGCCATTGGCTGTGCTGAATTGGACGATGTCAATGTTGAACGTGTCAAGGAAGTTGACGAAGTCAACTCAAGCGCACAACCTAGTACTGTGGTGGTGGCTGGTTCACAAGAATGTGTTGTTCTACAGTAACAAGGCTCAAATCCAATGAATCTGATATATTAAGAACAATTGCTGAATTCTGTCACTGTTTTAGTGTTGTGTTGGAGCCTTGATTGTATCATGTATTTTTTACTTTTATCTGGCTTTATGACGCGTTCATGTGAAAGTACGATGTAATAACTGCTCTCACCTGAGCAGTGTTTAGTGATTTGGGGTATGAATGTATGTATGATAGTGTGCTTAACTTGACTCTGTCGTTGCTTTTTAAGCTGCGAGAAATAATAAATTCAGTTATCCGTTTGTTCTTGTTGGCTAAATCAAATTGCTACATGTTTCTTAAGGATGCAGTTTTTACTAGCTGTGTTTCTGGTTTTATTTTGTAATATATGATGTGTTTATATCATAAATGACTCAATTTCGTGTGTCAAAAAATTTCATGCGAATATTCTTTATTTTATTATATATGTTCTTTCAATGCCTCTTGGCTGTGCAGTATTTATGTTTGGTGGTATAAGAGATGGTTCGTTTCAGATTTTGGTCCAATTGATTTTGACTTGTTAGGCATATGTTTTTTCAATCGATCTCAGCTACAAAAATTATATTAGAACTAGATATTGAACCGCGCTGGATGTGGGGCTTATATATACCCTATATTTTGAAGTGGTTGGAATTTTATAAAAGAATAGATATTAAATTGAATTATTATATTCATTAATTGTAAAATATTAAATAGGATAAAGGTCAGTCGTTTTAAAACTCATTATAATAATTTTATGAAATCAATCATTGCATTCTGTGTTGAATTGCTTTGTGATATAGAAAAAGAGAAGGCACTTGAGCTGGAAGGAAAGTAGAGAAAGAAAATAAGCACTTGTAGAATCCCAATTCCAAAGCTACCTTCTCTGTAAGCATTTCAGAGAAGGCTTCATTTCAGTCCCTGTACATTAAGAACAAAATTCATAAAAATATTTCACAAATGAAACATTACTGTCAACAAGGACAATGATGAAAAAACGTACAGCAAACATTGATGTAGGGCATGACACGTTTGTTGTCAGTATGGGCAATGATAGGAGGTCGTTTTGCATAAAATGGAAGGGAGAGATTTGTATTTTACACTGGACACGACTGTAGAGGAAATGAAATGTGAATCCAAGACAATTAAGCCAAGTGTTTCATGTGATGAGAAAGATGGTGTTGACATAGAAGCTTATCGGTTTGTAGCTAGAGGGGTTAAAATTGGGCCACCATGATGAGTTTAGCTTTCAAATTAGATGTCCAAAATGAATACGTCAATTTGATTTAGTGTTTTGGTTTTCCCGTTTAAAGTTTATAAACAAATGGACCAATTTAATCTGACTTAGTAAAATAACGATTCAGATCAGATTAAAGTAAATTTGGCTCAACTTAACATAATTTGTTTTTCACACTTTGGTCTGTTGATTAAGATGATCTATTCTGATAATTTTATTTTTATCTGTTCCTCATGGTTGATACATCATTGTATTATTAGACATAAAGTAAATTTTAAAGTGATTTTCAAAAAAAAAATTAACAATAATATTTTTAATAAAAATAACATATTTTAAAGATGATCTTTAAAAAATAATTATATTTTTATTTTTTTATAAAGAATTTTTTAGAACAAAAAAAATAACTTATAAATTATGTAACTTTGGAAAAAAATTATATAAATATTAATAAAAGATATTTTTTTAAGAAAATCTAAAGTAAGGTCTTTATTGGCCTAAGATTTAGATGGTATATCATGCTTTATATATTATGAATATAAACGTGAATGTTGTGTTTGTACCTAATATTTTAAAAAAAAAAACTTGTTATTATAATTTTTTTTATTCAAGCGATCTTAAAAACAAAAAAGATAATCAACATATAATTACCAAGATGTGGATTTTTTTTTTTTTTATATTTAATAGTTTAAAACCAACAAACAAAATGAAAAAAAATTATTTAACATTTTTATTTGTTAAAGATATGAAATAATCTAATAGTTTGTTTGTGATAGTGTCATATTATTCCTAGTTGTATATGTTATTAAGTTGAGATGTTTATGTTAAGAGACTTGTGAGTCTGAGGATCCCTCTAAAGTTTTAGTAGTGTTGAGAGGGGGTCCTCTAGGCATACACCCAGTTTGACCCTAAAGGAGAGAGTATATAAGGTTTCTATTTTGAGTAAAGCCTTATAAACTCTTTGCCTCAGCTTTCTAGAGAGAGGATTCTAAAGAGAAGGTTTTTGGTTTGTGACCTTTTTTCTCTCAATCTTCTTCTTTTCTTCTTTTTCCAATCCTTTTCTAAGATGTGTTGTTTATGATTCAGGTAGTAGAAACCTCGAATCAACCTGTTGATTTTGTTGCATAGCCAATCGTTCTTCTTCTTCTACCTTGGAATTGAGTTACCTGAGGTAAGGGAAGCTAGATTTTTGTCCTGGAATGGGGTTTTTGAATGTTGAATGAAGTATGAGTTGTTTGTTGCATGAATCATTGTGAAACTCGTGGCTCTCTGAGGATCAAATCCGAGTGAGTTGAGATAAGGTTGGGGTTTTGAGTTGTTGTGAAGAATGAGGTGAAATGAGATGATTTGTAGTTGCTTGCTGAATTTGTGTACATGTTTGAGTTGGTTGTGATATATATGTTTGCTATTTTGTGTTGCATGTGTTGAAAATTTGCTTATTTTCATGTTTTGGCTCGACATTAGGTTCTACATATGTAGAATTCTGATACCGCACCAACCGCTCCTTTAATTTTGAGCTATTTTTCTCACAATTTTTTTTCTCTTCTTTTTCTTTCCAATTCTCTTCTAAGTGGTATTACTGTGATTCAGGTGGTGGGAACCTCGAATCAAATAGTTGATTCCGTGTGGAGTTTTGACTCTCCTTTCTTCTTCCTCGAATTTGTGCCACCCGAGGTAAGGGAAGCTAGATTCTTGTATTTATGGAGTTATTGAGCTTTTGAAGGTGGTGTTGGTTGTAACTTCCATGAATTCATCTCAAATTCAAGGCTAAATATGTAACAAAATTAGAGTGTTGGGGGTTGAGAGATGAGGTTTTAGGGGTTTGAGAAGAATGTGACGATTTGAATTAATTTTTGGTTGCATGTTGATATTAAGTGCCTTTATGGATGTATTGTGATGTATGTAATTGTTGTTTTGTGTTGCATGCATTGGATTTTTGTTGGATTTCATGTTATGGCTTAAAATCAAGGTCTAGATATGTAGAATTTTTGTGTTACGTTAGGCGTTGTTCTAACTTGATGCTCTTTGTCTCGATCACACCAGACGCAAGATTAATGGTGTTGGCGTGAGGAGAGAGACTTGTCTTAGGTTGGAACGACATCGGACATAGTTGAATGGTGCCAAGCGTTGATACCTTGAGAGCTCTTTGACTTGGTGACGTCAGACCCAATGTTGTTTGGCGCCAATCATGGCCAAGCCAAAACTCTCTGTCTGGATTTCACTAGGTGTCGTGGTGATGACACCAAGTGAGACTCAAGCAGAGACCCTCTACTTGAGATGGGCCTAAACATGAGGTCCTAGAGGCCTCTACCTTAGCCACGCTAGGCGCAGGATGTGTAGCATTGGGCGTGGGTGAGGTAGAGTACTCCTTACTTGGATGACGTCGGGCATCAAGTGAGCAACGCCAAGCATATTTGTTGAATTAAAACATGATTATTTTGATTGATAAAGTGTTGATTTTTGTGATGGTTTGAGTTGTAATATTATCAGTTAGTTGTGAGTTGTACGTTATGTGTAGATTGTGTTGTGTGTTGATCGTGTTGTGTGTTGACTAAGTTATGTGTTGATTGTGTGGTTATGTTGAAAATATGATGCATTGTTGAGATGCATATTGATTATAGTGTTGTAAATAAGTTGTGATGAAGATATGAGTTGAAAAGTTGTGTGTTGATTATGTTGTTGTTTTGAAAATATAATGAGTTATTGTGTTGTTGAACTGTGTTGACCACTTAGAATTAGATGACATGTTTTTAAAAGTCGCTTATCCCATTGTGTGGATAGTGTGTTATGGTGCTCTGAGAGCCCAATTTATTGAAAAACCATTCTTGGGAAGTTGACCATTGAAGTGAATAGTGTGTCATTCCTCCTCTAGGACTTTGTTGGTAGTGTGTGTGGGCAAGGTTGAGACACACGTGCATGAAGTAAACACACTATAAGGGTCAGGTTGAGCTATACTGATTACAAGTAACCAACTGAATAAAGTATGAAGTTGAAAACTTAGTTCCTAATCGAATATCGAAAGGTTGTAGTATTTGGAGGGTAGTCAGTGGGCTAATCCCATAAGAGACTTGGTTAAGCTAGCTAACGTCGTGGTAGGCCCGTACCCAACTATTCTACTTCTATCATGACATTAGTACTATATTTCCTTGTTTAAGTGACAACATCCAAGAAATTGAGTTGTTGTGTTGTAGATTTATATCCAACTTGTTGTTGATCTAGCAAGCTCAAAAAAATCATCTTGTGTTGTCAGTTCGATAGGATCAACCCACTTAAACTGCTCATCCTGTTTTATATAAGATCTCCTAATTGAACTGTGTGATGATGCATTAGTTGTTGTGTTGAATATATGTTGTATTAAGTTGTTTGCGTTGTCCATATGTTGTATTAAGTTGTTTGCGTTGTCCATATGTTGTGTTGATCTATGATGAAATGTGGTTATTGTTAATGCTGACAAAACGGGTAACCCAACCTAGCCTAGCCCACCACGGGTTGATCATTTGGTAGGCCAACCCAACCCAACTCATTTATTGGTGAGCTCAAAAAAATTAAACCCGACCCGGCCCACCACGGGTTGGTGGGTTAAACGGGTTGACTCACCTAATTTAAAAAAAAATGTAATTTTTTTTATTTACATCAATAGAAAGAAATTCAATTAAAAATCATACTCAGGTTACCCTATGGAATGCCAAAACACATCCCATCCCAATATATCTAAAAAACAAACCGACTAAAAACAAACCAAATTGTATGATTTGCGCACGGTGGCTCGCGGTGGCTCATGATGCGCGTGGTTGCTCGCGGTGCGTGTGGTGCGTGCCGCAGCTTGCGGTGCGGTGCAGTGCGATGGCAACTATGTGGTGGGGTGTGGTAGCAGCTATGGTGGCTGGTGCGGTGCGGTGTGAGAGTGAGAGGGTCTGAACTCTGAAGTGATTTCTAAAGTTTAAATGAAACCCTAATGGGCTGCATTGGCCCAATAACTATTCATTTTTTTTATTTAATACGGGTTGGTGGGTCAGCCCGACTCACCATGGGTTCAACCTGGGTGAGCCGGGTTCAAAATTGGCTTGTACTG